CTTTACGATGCATCGCGTGGTGGCCAGAGTCGATGTCTCAGGTTTCGTTTCATGCTGCAAGGACCTGGGGAGAAAGCACTGACAGTTTACCGGAAGGCGAAAAAATATCGTGAAATACCTATTTGGATCTCAAAAGGCATCACCCGGGGGAACTGGGTTTATGGCCAGGTTCAACTCAGCTCCATTTCAGACTTTCAGGTAAAGAATTTTGCTTCTTCGCCTTTTCTAAGATTTTCTCAAACGAAGTAGACCTACTTGTTCTTTCCTTTCGTCTATTGAACAAAACTATCAGCTTTTTTATGTTAGCACCGTAAGTTACATTCAAATAAACCGTCCATAAAACTATACGGACATATCGTTCACTTTTGGTAGAAATTTTTCTGAGTTGCCACGCGAACCTTAATCAATCATACTTTTCCCATTCCCGCACCACCAACATTACGAGCGCATTAATAAGGCCCTTCAGGCACCAGAAACTGCTATGAGATTGGTAAATAATTGCGGAAATTGTTTCATTACCGAGACAGGTGCTTATAAAAGCGGAAATGGGGAGGAGAGAAGACTTAATAGCGTTGACAGGGCTGTACATCGACGAGGGAAAAAATTGCAGAGTGACGCCATTGTCGGCGAAAAAAGGTGGAGTATAACAATGTGAAGACATAGAAAGGGGAAGAGTTTTTCTAGGAAAGGGCGTCATTGCCACTAACCTTTAAAACACTTGTACTTTCGAAGCAATTGAAATTGTCATTGCACAACTCCGGGATGATGCTGCCGCTGTTATTTGCGCTCATGAGGCACTGTACATGTACTTCGTGTCGAATGATAAAGACACCAGTCAGGTTGTAAAGGCAGACACTTCTTAACATTTTAGCTTTCATCTGTTGTTTCCCTTTCAGCTTGCAGCGAGAACTTAATCAACGAAACAGGATATTTCTTCTCTCCTTCATATCCTGGAAATCCTCCAGATGATACTTTTTGCAAATGGCATATCACCGTCCAGAAAAACCACATCATTCGTTTGGAATTCCAAGAGTTTTTACTCACGAACCACCCCACATGCGAGAGATGTTTCCTTCAAATCTTTGATGGACGTGATTTATCTGCGACCGCGATAGGAAAATTTTGCGGCGATATGCATCCTCCAGTTGTCATTTCTTCATCAAGCCATTTCACGATTGTTTTCCGTTGTGTTGAGGGTTTGCGAATGACAAGATTCAAGGCCTTTTATCATTCTATTAGAAGTATGTTATATCTTTATGATTTTAAATTTTGAAGATATATGGACCTGTTTTTTATGTATAAACCTTAGTGAAATTCAATCAAAAGTTCTGGAATTAAAAAGTAAAAATCCAATCGATGACCAAATCAATGCAACTTGAGGTTGAAGTAGGCTTAATTGGTCTTCGGGTCACTTTCCTAAACATGAGGTGGAGATATTTTCGGTGAGACATGAAACTTTGTCAATTAGTTCGTGGTAGAGTATTTGATATAGGGCAGTATTCAATCATTCCTCCAACTAAGGTAAAATGCCAACTGAAATGCGTAGTGGAGTTTGACGATAATTGATTTTTCTCCCACTTCTCTACATTAGAATTTAAGAGTGCTAAATTGAGGAAATTGTTTGTTTGTGAGAGACATCATCACAATTTAAGAGTTTTCGATTCCACTATCGGAAATTAAAGTTTTGAACCGTAATAGGAAGAATAATAACAACGACTGCGACAAAGCCATCAGGGCTAGTCGTAGCTAATGCCTTAACTGAAAATTGGTGGCTACATCTACCTTTTCCATTTTTCAGCTCAATATTGGGAAGGATCGTCTTGTTCACTTCATCGAGGTAATTGAATCTTCATCGATAAACTGACTGCTTGAAATCATTTTTTCCAATTGCTTTCCAAATGATGAAGGGGTTGAAAGATGATGGTAGATAGTAACTGAATGTCGAAAATCGTTTTAGAGTGCCCATCAAGCTGCAAGTGTGAGGAGTTTGGTGAAGTATACGATAAGAGGATTCTGATTATTGGAGAAAAGTTGCTGGCTATACCGAGTAATCTTCCTCCAAATACTGGCGCAGTGTATGTTTAACCATTTCCCTGCTTATCATCATTATTACTACTCATTATGCTAACAATCACCAAGTCTTTCTGCCTACATACACAGAACAAAATAAAGAGATTTGGCATGATGTCTACGGCAACCGTCAAACGGCAAAAAGCAATATTGAACTCATTCGCTCCTTTTTCCAGCCTTTTGCATTCTGAGATGGAAATATTTTAATGAGGAAGAATAGATTTATGTTCATAAAAGGTTATTAAACGAAAAAACGATCCTGCTGCTGTGTGCATATCAGAGTTTGAGGAATTGAAGCTGTAAACGTCTTGCATTAACTCTCTACATTGCTTACTTGCACCTATTAAGCCGTTCATTGATGATTTTGGTTAGGTAGATTGTTCCGAGGGATTTTTCTTCCTCTTTCGATATTATTTAGTGGCCTGCTGATAAGGTTTCCTTTTTTAGTTACTTTAGTTCAAGTTTAGGTGATTCCTTATAAAGGCCATATTTTTACCGCAGAGATGATGTGTCACTAATAATATCATATCTACCAGGGTTTTTCGTCAAAATCGGATCTTGCAACTTCACGAGAAGGAATTGTCAGACCTTACCATACTCGAGCATATGTGAGTTGAACGCCATATTCTCTGTTTTTATTAGTGGTAGTGCTAGGTTTTGCTTGAAATGCGAAAACTTTAAAGATGTCAAATAAATGTATGTATATTTGACCAACCCTCTGATTCTTCACGCTATCTTAGGGTTAGCGAAGACAAAAATAATGTATTTTACAGTGCACAATACGTATCTACGAAATTTATTCTGCAAGCATGGAGAGCACAATTAGAGTAGGACTCTCCAGGTTTCTGGCTGCATTCGATACCTTGAAAGATCTTCGACAACAAGTTGAATAATACTCCTCGAAAAAACCATACATTTTAGAGATATCAAATTAATAAGTTACGTGTTCTCTTTGAAACAGTGACCTTAGCTTCAATAATCTGCTCCACTTAGATGAAGAATGTTTTCACAACGTATCTTCTGTTACTACACTGTGAGTACTGGATGGTGATTATAGATTAATAAGTATGAATAAATCATTCCAGAGAATCGTCAACAGTATATTTGCTGGCGAACTTGTCATCTTTTTCACCTCAAATGTTCCTAGGGCCGATAGGGACATTCCTCCCCATTTCTTCATTCGAACCATCATCCTGGAAGCATCTCAAACGACCAGATCAGGCTGGCGTGGTTGCTTGTGTGACTAGGAGAAATAGATAGCCAGGGTAACGTAGTAAGCGTTTGGGAGAGGGCTGACGACGACATCTTCTCAATTCATCCGTCTCGCATTATCGCTTAGATTTGTTGAAAGGAACTGTTAGAATCTTACTTGAAGGCTTTCTTGTGTTCTCTGCAGGAGACTGAATTCTAACTTTCTTCGAATTCTTCCTATTGGAGTATTCAGTGAGCTCCCTAATTTAAAAGTTCTGTGAGTATCTCCAGATATAATCTCATTATTTCACATTGCATGACATCATGAAACGACGATCGACAAGATCTCCATTGACCGAGCTCAAGAAAATGTCTATTTTATTTCAGTGATTTAGGAAGTAACCTTCTTAGCAGTATGAGAAGTGGGGTGTTTGATGCATTGTCAAATTTGAATGTTTTGTAAGTACTCATTTTCAGTAACATTTGAAAGCTGACAAAGATTAAGAACTTTCAAAGCAGTATTTCGCCTTTGTTTTTAGGGGTTTACGCGCAAACCAACTGACGAATTTGCAGTATGGCGTTTTTGGCAACAAAAGTAACATGACTCATTTGTAAGTAAAAGGATCCCTTTTCTTCTAAGCCAATCGCCAAAGTCATACCATTGCTATTCAAAACAAATCGAAGGGTTATGATGAGGAGTTTAGTTACACGGTGAAGCCATATGTCTAACCTAATACTTTATTTAACATATTCGAAATGTAATGATGGATTTCTAATTTTTATAAGGTACCTCCAGGAAAACAAACTGACAGCATTGCCAAATGGCTTGTTCAAAGATCTCTCCAAGCTGGAAGTCTTGTGAGTGCTGAAATGAGCAAATTAATGTCTTCTCAAATTACTTAATCTGCTGTAAAGGGAAAATTTGGTAACTTCTTGTTCAAACCATGATAGTTTTCGTAATGGAATTTTGATTGTGCTCATTGTTTAAAGTAGACTGACGTTGAGATACACTTGAAAAGGGTTTTCGCTGAAATAAATTCGCCTATAAATCGTGTTGAGATTTTGTTTAATGTCTCTCATTCGACAGAAATCTAAGCAGCAATGAGCTGAAAACAGTGACAAAGGAAACGCTTCAAGGGCTCAGTGCACTGAAATATTTGTAAGTAGTTGGAATTTTCAGCCTTGAGGGTGTCTCTCTGTGGTGATTTATCTCCGCTGAAGTCGGGTGTAGGTGTAATGTCCGTAGAAAAAATGAGTTCAGTGCTAAAAGAGAAGTAAATTACAATGCTCGACCAATTGGGTATTGAACCAAAGGAAGTATTAGCTACCGAATGCTTTTACTTGAGTTCTCCATTGTTCATCAGCGTAAGTGTGGAAAATTCATTTTTCAAATAGCTTAAGACCATTCTTTGTGAAGTCATTAAGTATTACTCTTCTCCATTTCATCAAGCCTGTGTGCAGATATTCAACTTCAAATAACAACTTTTGAACAGATCAATCAACTATTCTTTTTGCTTGATAAAAACAGGTACTTGGACAACAATAGATTAGCTAACGTACCTACAGATGCATTCAGCGAGCTGACTAGCCTTAAGTATCTGTGAGTATTTTACAATTGATATCGTAATAGCTACGTTTTTTAGTCTATCTAAAATGGATACTTCATGATGATATCACTTGTCAGTCGACACAATATATGTGTATATATATTATCCCACGTATCATTTCTTATTTGATTGATGACATTTAAGTTCAGATGTAAAAGTGTTTTGGTCTTGAAAAAATCCCACAGGAAACTAGATCATTTCATCCTTTGTTGTTACGCTGAGAAATCTGTGGAAGGGGTTACTTGTGATTCTCCTGCTGATGAGTTCTCCAGCTGTGACGACCTGATGAAGAACAAAACGCTTCAGATCTGCATTTGGATTCTTGGAATCCTCGCCTTCCTCGGCAACCTTCTTGTCATAACATGGCGAATAATTGATAAAGAAGAGAACAGGGTTCATTCATTCTTGCTAACAAATCTTGCTGTAGCCGACATGTTTATGGGTGTCTATCTTCTGACAATTGCAATTGTGGACGCGAGATGGCAGGGTGAATATTTTAAGCATGATACGAAATGGAGGGCTGGTATAGGCTGTCAAGTTATTGGAGTCCTATCCATGCTCTCAAGCGAGGTATCAGTGCTGATTTTAACAGTCATCACCATCGACAGATTTGTTTGCATCATCTTCCCTTTCAAGTTTAAGCGTCTTACGTACAAGTCTGCCGTATTCACCTGTGCAGTCGCGTGGATACTTGGCGTAGTCATCTCCGTGATACCAATCATCGGAATAGACTATTTTTACGATAAAAGTGGTGATTTCGGTTTTTACAGTCGCTCAGCTGTTTGCCTTCCTCTTCAGCTATCGGAAGGAACCCCTGCCGGCTGGGAATATTCCGCCTCTTTTTTCATCGGTTTAAATTTCGTTTCGTTCACGTTTATCTTGGTGGCGTATATCTTAATGTTTTGGACGGTCAAGCGCTCTGCCCGCGCTGTTCGATCAACGAGTATAAACAAAGAATCTGCAATGGCTAAGAGACTTATTTTTATTGTGATGACCGACTTCTGCTGCTGGATGCCTATAATAATTATCAGCATTTTGTCCCTGACAGGAAATTTCTTCGATCCGCACAAAATTGCCCTTGTGTGGATCGCAGTGTTTGTTCTTCCGCTCAACTCTTCCCTTAATCCAATCCTTTATACATTTTCTACCGAGAGAGCGAAGCGAAGCTTAGCCAGAAAGAGGAAAAATGTTACTGGCATGGTTATGAAGTCTTTGAATAGTCGCGCTGGAGGTGGGTCGAAAAATGACAAGATTCACTTTTTTATATTCAATTTTTGTTACATTTTCCATGGACTTGGTAGGCGATGATTTCTTTGAAAAAAATGCACTTTTCTTTTTGCATCTTAATATTTTCCAAATGTACAACTTTCAGTAGAGTATACACTTTGATAGTTATAATAAGTTGCATATTTAAAAAGACCTCTCAGAGAGCTGAGAGCCCATTATGAAGTTGTCATGGTTCCTTATCTGAACCTTGCCCAAGTTGGCTACTAATTCTATAATCGTGTTATCTTTTCCTTTCTATTTCTAGATCAATCTATGGACTACCTGAGAACAAATGCTGAAAACACTTTAGTCTCCATTGCTGAATCCAGTCCCCGGCCGGTTAAGAAAATTGTGGAAAAACAGGAACAGCAAAGTAAACAAGTGAAGACTAAGTTAAAGCTGATCGAAGTAGTGGATATCTTTCAAGAAGATACAACAGGAAAGCGTTCAACGGTAGGAACCCCTTAAAGATATATAACTGAACTTTTCGATAGATACCTACTGAAGTAAGTTGAAGGTAGGTTTCAAACATACATGTAGCCTAGTCATTATCAACCAACCATGAATACATCGAGCGATATTTCCGTAAGTGCTCCTATAAATGGTCCAATTATGCAACGCAAAACGATATTGCAAACGAGGAAATTTTGTCCCCTTGCTGTCTTCTTGTGATGTAGGGTTATGTCACAGCTTGGTGCGAGGAAGAAGGAGTACTTGGTATGGTATTACTGAAGTACTTCGGAAAGGAAATGAAGGAAGACTGGACTCGAGAGGTCGATGTAGTTCAAGGTCTGTCTAGTAATGAAGACTCGCAAGACAATCTTCTTCATTATCGCTGGCACTCTAAAGGTAAGTGACCATCTCTATTAAAAATGCATCCGACATTTCTGCACATGTTTAAGAAAATACACTCATTTCATAAACTTAGCAAAAAACACAAAAAACCAAAATCCACAGCAAAAAAAGGAGCAGCTCCGAAAAACAATAGATTCTTGCTTGAAACAATAGCACAATTCCATTCACGAATGGAGTAAGCTTAGTTGACGAGGTTTTGAATCGAAATAATCGAAATGGATCCAATAATTTTAAATCCAGTGGCTAAGTCATGTGTCTTAATAGGTAGATACACTCGAAAGGCGTGCTGATATATTCTAAGTAGCAAGGGGTGGAAGGAAAGGTGGAAGGAAAGGTGAAAGGGAGTAGTTAAATGCCGATAATGGCATGTTTTTTTTTTAGTCTTTAATCTTTTCGCGCACTACAGGCTTTTCCTGGAAAAAGCTGATCACATGTGGTTAATTTTAGGGCTGATTTTGAAGTTGGAACTGGTAGTTTGACATATTTAAGGCTTACGGTGCTCTTTTATTTACTCCAAAATGCGGAGAAACTATATCGAAAGAGAGGCAAGGGGCTAATATAGTAGAAGTAAATACCTTGTTTTGTTTCGGGTAACAGTGGGCTGCTAAATTTCTTTGTCATTTTTTCATTATACTGCTGCTACTGCTCTTTATTTTCAGCGTCTGAACAGAGTATTGAACACGGCAAGAAGAAGATTCATGGCATACAAGGAAGTAGTTGGTAAGTTATCATTGGCGTAACTCTGTAATGGTCATTTAAACTATAGTTGTCTCGTTAAACTGAATTAAGAACACGGATATGGCCGACGGAAACTTTAAATTATTTAAATTTAGTCAAATTTTCATTTTGTAATTTAAAGTTCACTGTGTTATGTATTACATTTCCTTACTGTACGTGAGGAACGTTATTGACATTGTAAGTGCTGATTTATCACATAATTTTTACTTTACGTTCTCCTCTTAATTTCCTTCTGAATTTTGTTAAGGCTCATTTGTTACGATTTTGAGTCGAGCTCCACTTTGGGAGAATTTCTTTCGGAGAAAGGAATTGTTATCGACTTGGACGCGGTATGCGCTGTAGTTTGTGACGTCATCACCGCCATAGAACATCTTCTGGATCATGGAATAGCTCATAACAACATCACAACTGGCAACATTTTGATCAGGCAGTGTCCAAGAGTAAGCAAATAACTGATGTTTTAAAGTCTGAAAACTTTCGCAAAGCATTGATGGCCGCCAAATTATCTTAGTCTCGCCTAAAGTCTCTTACGATAGATCTAATGAGGAATAACAGATTAAATGTAGAAGAAAGTAAAAATCGTGTCTCTTAATGCGCGAGACCATTTGCAATGGGTTTCACTTGAGAAAATTTTAAAATCATTTCTATGCACCTCTTCCATGCATGTCGGGCCTCATTTGATATTCATCTAAAATTGGTGGTCTTGGACTAGCTAGCTAGTGTAACGAGATAACAACTTCACCCAAGAGCGTGACTAAGTAGGCTTTTAAGCATGCAAATAAAAGATTGACGATCATTCCCGCCATCATGAATGAGGTCCACGGAGCGAATTTGACAGGATCGACGCGTTTTACAGGTACCTCCGATCAAAGCCGTTCTTGGTGGATTTTCTCAAGCGTCTAAAGCAAATGATGCAGGTGCGTTTACAAACTCGGCAGCCGACGAACAGAGTTGCCATAGCCACGACATAAAACAGTTCGGACATTTACTAGCCACATTATTAGGACACTGCCATGGCTCCAGTGAATACGTTAAGGTAATTATTATGAAGTCAGTGTCAGTAAACGGTCAAGATTAAGAACCGCATGTAGATAGTTTACCATCTTTTACTTGGTTGCCGTAGCTTTAGTGGGCACAATAGAAAGCTGACATCTATTTTTCATATATTCAGTAATACCTAATTAACTACAGTGCAGCAAGATTACGAAACCAAATGACCCTGACAAGTGTTTAAGACCATACCGGTGTATTTCTCCGAATTATCATGCCACGTAAAGGGCGATGTTATCGTAAGTTTCGCCAAAAGTCTCGTGGTAAAAGTTTAACTCTTCTCATCGATCTCTGCTTTATATAAAGCTGTTCGTAAGCATACAGTTCTTTTATGCAATGCACATGAAGCTGCCTGATAAAAAACATAACTTTCTTTCTTTTGTTTTGTTCATGTTCTGTAGTTGCGTGAGATTATGAACCTGTGTTTCGAGGATGCAGAGGAGAAGAGGCCTACAGCACGTTACATCCGAGAAGTATTGGAAGAAACCTGGCGCGCTGAGGGGGTTTGGGATACATGAGGAAACTAAAGAAAAAATCGAAATTAGCTTTTCAATCGCATTTGGTACCGCGGTTGAAATGGTTGTGTTAGTGACATCATCGATTTCTCTGAGTATTCCGTAAAATTTTTTTCCCATTTGTAACGTGCGTTTGCTGAAACAAGAAACGCTTTTCGGCCATTTGCCTAACATCGAAAAAATTTGTTGCATTTCTGCTTTCTATTATGTGTAGGGTACTGCGTGGGCTATTATGACGGGAATGGATAGAAAGTCAGGAGTTGATTTAAAAATGATTTATACAAAAGCTACTCAGTGTATTTGAAGTTCGTAAGTATTAATTCAGGGGTGAAACACCCGAGGCTTCCAAGGAGGATTGTCGGTCCCCGTTCTGTTTCAGCTTCATTAGTTTCGATAATTCAATTAATTGACGAAAATAGACTAGGTTTAATTTAGGTCATAATAATATACATGAAAAATACTCAGTTCTGATTGGTTCAGATAAATGCAGTTTCAGGTAACTAAATGTAGAAAAAGTGCAAGTGCAGTGCAAATAAATAACAAAGCAGACATTCTGATTGGTCAATAATCAATGAAACTCACATATAGCCCATCAATCGCGAGTCTTGGATGTCGTAACATTTGCATACGATGAAAATTTGCGAGCGAAACAGTGGCCGGCGTTTTAAGTAGGTTTTTTTTCGCCACCGCAGCAACAATACAGCAACT